TGCATTTCTCCTCACATCTCCCATCTACACCATGGTTGTCGAATACAAATTTATCACTCTTACATGTACATGTATGTTCTTCCTTTGTTTGATTACTGCTCTCTGCTCTCTCGCTGGTCTTAATCGGCAAGAAACTAATCCGTAGGAAACTAAGAATGCAACAGCTTTTATAGCGAAGGTAGAGAACTAAGGTTGGTGGTAAGACAAGGATTACGAAATCATCCTTCTACAAGTTCTAGAATAGTGGAGAAGGTAAACCTAGATCATCACTACTATACATGTAGATGAAGTAAGCATTGCGTAACATTAACATAATGACTAAGCGAGGTATTCTAGAAGGTGAGATATCTATATTATGCAATTTAGTCAGCAACATTACTCATCACTAAAATATTGCGACAGAGCTTTCGGCCATATTTTCACTTCATTGCACTCCCAACTCATCACAACCACGCGCTCTTCAGCCGAACCATACAGACACCAGCAAGGACACTTCCGTTGAGAGATAATATTGCTCCACGCCCCTAGACAGCTGTTTCGCTCCCTGTCGGAGCTCATCAGTAGAGGATGATAATGATGATAATGGAGGAATGATCATTCTTATACACCAGAAATGGCGCAAGTGCGCGCTTTCCACATATATCAATGGCATATGCAAGCTGCTAAAATGGTAAAGTGTGAGAACAGCGATAAATAATCATAGTACGCGCTCATTGGTGGAGAAACACACCACACAAGCGACGAAAATCTTACTCGGAATACTGATGCCAATGGAAAGTACACGTATGTTGTTTATTATTATGATGTTGCAATGTCCATGTATGCAGGCGAGGCGAGACTCACCTCTTTTAGCAGCTTGCATATGCCATTGATATATGTGGAAAGCGCGCACTTGCGCCATTTCTGGTGTATAAGAATGATCATTCCTCCATTATCATCATTATCATCCTCTACTGATGAGCTCCGACAGGGAGCGAAACAGCTGTCTAGGGGCGTGGAGCAATATTATCTCTCAACGGAAGTGTCCTTGCTGGTGTCTGTATGGTTCGGCTGAAGAGCACGTGGTTGTGATGAGTTGGGAGTGCAATGAACATTACTCATCGGGCATATTACTTGGAAGGTCTGGAATAGTCCGGAATCAACGACGTGATTGACTAACTAAAAGGAAGTGGTAGACGTACTAGTTCTAGAAGTGATGACAGCAAGGTTACAAGCATGGGAGATCTAATTATAGCTTATGACGAGGTTTACATTTTACGTGCATGTACTACTAGTAGTAGTCGTAATCAAGTCATGTACATGTCATTATAACGTATGCATTTCTACCCTAACATTTCCAACTTGAGCCATTCCCTGTAAAATCCTTGATGAGAAGGGACCGAAAACGTTCGGATACTTTGACAAGTGCCATATTTTGACTGGATGTGACCGTAACTTTGGTGTTTCTCAGTGGATTTGAGTGAAATTTTGACCACACACTCCTGCCACTATGCTGGCCCTCAGGACATGATTTACAAGTTCTTGCGCCTCACTGACAGGCTTTCCAGGCCGGAAAAACTCAAATTTCCGGCATAGTGCTACGGTGTGCGAGCCACCCAGGAGCCAAACAAATGCATTTACATTTTTTTCACATTTTCGTGCCCATTCTGTCCGTGCGCGGGACCCAAACCTAAAACAAGTCCAGAAGCAGCCATGGGTGGTGGGGTAGGGCCCCTCAACGTGGCCCTGGAATCTGTCACAACGGAACGAGTGGGCGTTCTTTCACGGACTCCCACAGACCCAAGTCAATTTTTGAATTTTTTTAGGTTTAGCACGTGCTACGAGGTCGTACCTTTGATACAACATCCAGTGCTGGGACCTCCACAGCAAGCCATTTCCACAGCGCTGCACACCAAATCCAGGATGCCCTCAGAAACCGGCAAAGACTGCCACTCACGTTTCACTACTGCCTAGTACTGAATCCTACCTGACTTCTTGACACGACTCAAACTTGCCAAAGTCACTAAATCAACGTCAACTACAATAATCAAGCCACATATCTGCAACGTCACGAGGGTGCTGGCAAAAGTCCTGCTGCACGGCGGCGGGCTTTGCCCGCCGCCGTGCAGCCCAATACGTGGTTTTTTAACGTGATTTTTTGGACTTTTTTGGACTTGGGGCAAAATTCTGCACACTTTCGCGTGTTTCCATAACACGACAAGTTGCGCACGGTCTGCTCACATTCAAATACAGTGCTGCCAACAAATGACAGCATGCAACAAAAAAATCTTTCCTTGCAAGGGCACATTTTCGGCCATAACTCTTGAACGGCTGGTCAGATAGGGACACAGTTTTCAGAGAATTTGCAGCTATTCATGCTCTTTCAGCTGACGTAGCACTCAATATGAATTTACAAATTCGATTTTTCATCGAATTTTTGGGTGATGTGCCCCCTTAAAGGGGAAGTGCATCGATTTTTCAAGTAGGGCTCAGATGAAAGACAATTGGATATCGGTTCCGATGGTATATCTCTCGCTTGCGTACGGCAAGGAAAACTTGCCATATCGCCGATTTCCCGATCCCGTTTCCATGGCATTTATGCGATGGTCGCAGCGGATCAACATGACACGCAGCGTTCTGGACGCGCTGAGGCCAGTGCGCCGGCCCCGGTCAATGGACTGGATTTCCATGTCCGCTACAGTAGCACACACCACTGAATGTTCACTGATGACACCTATACTACATGTAGCTGTACTACAGCTACATGTAGTATAGGTGTCATCAGAGCTTTTCAACATAATGTACATGTACAATCATGTAGATCTACACTATGACACAGGGTGAACATTCAGTGGTGTGTGCTAGTACTGTAGCGGACATGGAAATCCAGTCCATTGACCGGGGCCGGCGCACTGGCCTCAGCGCGTCCAGAACGCTGCGTGTCATGTTGATCCGCTGCGACCATCGCATAAATGCATGTGTGTACCACTTATCCACGGCTGCCTGTACGGCTGTAGTGTAGAAGAAGGTGAGCAGCAGCAGCATTCGGCCATTGAAAATCCTGCGTACATGTACATTGACTGCACCGCCTCACCAGCATGCACCACCTCACCTGGTGACCATGGTGACCCTCGATGCGCTCTGCGGCCGACCACACACACTTCCCACAACAGGAGGTTCCTTTTGTGTGCTGACAACATAATTCCTTCTGACAGCTGTGTTGGTCATTGAGACCTCATCAGAGAAGGTTGAGTTGTTGAATGACTGGAAAAGAAATGAGCACCCATTTTATTCTGACTCTTTTGTGATCACAACTGTTGGAAGAAATATGACTGTTCCCTACGCCGGCTTCATGGAAACTGAAGAAAGCATGATTATGAGGTGATGGCGGAGAGGTGCGGTATGGTGGCTGAGTGGACGGAGTGCATGCCGCGGGGATCTCTCACCTTGCTACTTGCAATGCTGTGCTATTCACACCTGGCGTTTGGCACTATCACTTTCTATTATCAATTTATCATGTATACCGTGTATACGCCCGTCGCAAGAGAAGCACGCAAATCTGCAGATGCACTGGATGTGCACCCACAGATTTTCTCTTATAGCAACGATAACGAACAAGATCTGAATGAGACAGATCAAGACTGGCGCCAGATAACTGTCTAATCCACACAACTGGCGAAGCCATGTGAATCGACCACCAATGCACACCTGGTCTACACCACACGGATTACGTCGGTATAAAACGGCCAAGACAGTTATCTATGCACACCCTACAATTGCTGGGGTAACCAGTATAGACAGCACGCTGCTTTGATAGAAGCAGACACTAGATGCACTGGTACCTTGAAGTGAAATTGGAGTTACTTTACCAACCAGCCTCGGCTACTGAGCTATTATCAGGAGCCACACTGACTCACGCTGCCATATATCTGGTGTTCACGAGGTGTTTCTCGCACTGGAAACGGATTGTCTCTCTCAGTTTGTGTCCCTGGTGATGTTTGGGCCTGGAGAGCACTATAATAATATTATAACAGTTACATGTAAGTGATGCTGTTCAGGCACAATCTTCCTCAGCCTACTCAAGCTCAACTGATACGGGGTGCCCGAAACACTGTGTATTGAGCAGGGGTACATCTGACTGCAAAATACCCACGACGCAGCTCACCAGATCAATGTGTGGGTTCTCTTCACTCAGAAGAGTCGAGTCGAGCGAGCTGCAGCTCCCGGTGTCGAAAGGCGGGCTCACGTCCCTACATGGCTACTTCCCCTTGTCTAATCCCCAGGACGAAATGATAGTAGCCGATTGGCCGAAATTAAAAAAAATTGAGCAGGGAGTGGTGCTTTCTTCTGTCCCCGGGGAAAATTGCGATTCCGCGGCCGCGTTTTTTCCGCGTTTTTTGCGATTTTTAAAAGACCGCGTTTTCCGCGATTTTCCCGTGTTTTTTTGAACTTTTTTGTTGCACTACACGTACACACAGTGCACTGTTCGGTCAGCAACGTCTCATCTTGGCGGCTTTTTACTCAAATATGACGAGTGCTTACACCAGAGACTTGTAACTGATTGATTTCACTACATACTCACTGAAAATTGCCGCACATCAATATTATTCACCGCATATTTACCGCATATTTATCGCAAATTCACCGCAAATTATGCCATATTATGCCGCGTTTTCCCCCGCGTTTTTTGCGATTTTTTTCCGCAATTTTCCCCGGGGACAGTTTCTTGCAGGTTTGCCGAGTCGAAGGTTCCTCGACCTTGTTGCCTCTCAAAGCGTCTACGTCATTGTTCTCTAGCTGCGAGAAAATTATTGAGCTTTTATATGTGTCTGCCCGTGTACATGCATGAGGGCCAGTCTTCAACAGAAAACGCATGACATCGTATGAAGCAATTAACACCTCACCATTCTCGGGGAAATCGAACCTGACCACGAGATCGCCCTGGAAGTATGTGAACATTGTCAGCATGCCCGGGTCTGGGCAGCCGCGCTTCTCACATCAGCAATTCTTCCAGCATCGCGTGTGTTCATATAGACTAATAATTATACCAATCACTTTGTGACATTCTAAAGCGGGAGATTTGTGCGTCAATGGGCAAGTACAATTTTGCGTTCAGGGGGCGAATAATATTGGCTATAGTTGGTTATGTACAAGTTCAGCATGCACACGATGGTGAAGTCGCAGTGAACAGTGGAGGAGAATATGGTTCACGATGTGAATACATCAATTTGCAGAAACACAAACGCGTGTGAAGACATAAACGCGACTCGAGGAATTGGACAATAAGCGCACCAATGAAGAAGCAGATATGTCAAAAAGAGAGCTCATCACAGATTCATGTAGGTATGTACATGTTGATCTTCGACACTGTACAATTGCAACAGAGCTATACGTCTATTAGCATTGTCCTTGTGACATAGAACTATGTGTACTGTAGGGGTCCTAAGATCTACTGCGGATCTGGAACTGGGAGGAAAAATAAGGCATAAACTCAGAGGAACCAAATACACCTATGAAAGGCAAGTGTTCGTATTGCAGAATAATTCATTGATGGCTTTAGCAGGATAGAATTCGCTGATAAAATTTCAAAGTCCAAATAGAACTTCCTTCATCGAATATGTGGACGATGTTTAGTATGCGACCGCTTGGACAGAATTGGGTAGGTCAGGGAGCTGAAGGTTGGGATAATCCGGAGGCGAGATAGGAGACTCGGGCATCTTGAAGATTGCGATAGTGTCGGGTGACTGCAAAGGAGATGAAGGCAGACTTTGTGCGGATTGGTCTGGTGCGTTATATGCACTGGTGACTGATGCTAGTGCTTGTGCGGAGACGGCAAGGTTAGAAGCAGCGCCGGCCTTAGCCTTGCTCTGCCTCTTGCGCCTTGGGTTGTTGCAGAACGGCTGGCCAGCTGCAGCACACGCAGCATGGATGCGCAGGTGCTTGCTTAGGTGGTCGGAGCGTGAGAATCTCTTCTCGCACATCTTACACTGGAAGGGCTTGATTCCCAGATGCATTCGCTTGTGACGAGCCAACTCGTCACTGCGGGAGAATCGCCAGCTGCAGCCTTGCCAGTCGCAGACGAAGGGTTTTTCACCGGTATGGCGGCGCAGGTGAGCTTTGAGGTGCGATGACTTGTTGTAGATCTTGTTGCAATTCTCCCACGTACATGCGTATAGCTTGTAGGTTAAGCTGCGATGCTTTCTCCGCCCCTTATCCGTGTCCTCTTCCAGATCAGTGCGTTCCATTTCAATGATGTTGCACAAGGGTAGACCCGTGCAATCGTTCAGAATGCCAGACAAGCTGTCAGGCTTGCTGCCCGCCAATGGTGAGCATGAAGAAGGCTCCTCTGCTTTCGCCGTGGTGCAGTCAGCACGCTTCGTCGACGTCGTCCGCTTCTTCTTGGTGCTACTGAGGGTGGCCTCAGCACTGGTGGTGGCTGCCTTGGCCTTGGCTTTGGGTTGTTTGTGGCTGCCGCTGCTGCTGCTGGTACTACTGCAGGATGTACAGCAGCTGGACTTACGGGTGGTGCTAGTCTGTCGCCTCCGTGATGAGCTCTTGGACTGGGAAGTTGGCTTGCTGTCGCTGGCAGGCTCAGCAAGGCCAGTCGTAGCTGAGGTCGCATTCTCTTCTTCGATCGAAGACAGCGTGCTTTGAGACGTGGTTGTCGTCAACGTGGCAGGCGACACCGTCGAAGGTTTATCAAGCGGTGTGGGGGTGGATGGAAATGAACTCATTGTGCTAGCCACAGACACGCCTGGAAGATCATGTTGCCCGAACGCCAGCGCTAAGTCCGTATCAACTGGCTCGAAGGTGAGCGGACTGAGTGGACGCTCGACGGCCTGCTCCTGGTGCATCGGTGAAGGTGCTGGTTTTACGTGGGCATAAGCAGTAACAGGAGTGACCGTAGCATCCAACGAATACTGGGACTTGATCTCGTCATACTCTCTCATGAAGTATTCAACGGCCTCGTCCGATGCATCATCCGCCCACGTATCGTCCAGGTACAGAGATGATGAAGAGGACGACGTCGGTGAGAGCGATGCAGCAGAAAGAGGACTGGCAACGAAGTTGGGAGCGCTGGTTTGGGTGGGTATGTTGGTTGAGCAGAAGAATGGTGCAAAGCTGGTCGGAATGGAGGTGTGATGGACAGGAAGTTGGAAGTCGAAGGCGCACTGATGATGACTGCTTGTAAGGATAGGTGCACTAGGCGGTGGAGTTTGCAGAGCGCCGAGCAGAGTATGGCCAGCCACTTCTGCTAGTCCCGTTGCCGCCGGCAACCTTTCGGGTACGAGTGGAGAAGCGAGCTTTGATGATGGCGGGCTGCTGTGTGCTGGTGGTGACAAAACCAGTCGTTCTTTGACGAATTTCTGGTCGTCCTCGTCTCCGAACGAGCGGAATCTTAGCTTTGGTGCCTCCTGGCGCTGCGTAGCAAACATAATGATAGATTCAAAGCAAGGAAACGAAAACGTGCAGTATGTTGGTTTGTTCCTTAGGTTCAAGTGAGCAAGGATTCCAAATTGTGAGGGACTTTTGAACTAGTCGCTCTACTCATCCAAACTGCACGTCCATGCACCCTGTCTATCCGCGTAGTGTCTAGCTTGACATCCTGATGTCACATTGACAACAGTCTGACTACTAACTACTGCATACTGCTGATGCAAAGCACCTGAACACTGTGTGTAGCCCAGGAGCTGCAGCAACTCTCCCTATCAGCCCTGCTCGCGAGACCGCAACCCGGGTCGGAATTTGCAGCTGACATTCCCGCCTGTCAAGTCTCTGAGCACAAGCTGCACGTTCGGACGCGAGGGTGGTCCCATCTTGTGCACTGACAGGACCCGCTATTTCGCACCTCAACCGCAATGCTCAGTCTTTGGACAGCTTTAGTGCTAACAGATTCAATAGACACAGCGTGCATGGCATAAGGACGATGGCTCTTTGGTACCTTACATAATGTGTGCCAACAAATCTCCATACGTATGTTCCAGTGAAAGTGATTATTGCTAACGAGACAAGTTCCAATAGCAACTGAGAAGACATGATCTTTGCTGATCCAGGGTACTCTCACAAATACTGACCAACGCCGTGTGTTTAAATTCCGTTCGCTTTGCCCTCTTCGATTTCAAGTTCACGTATTCCTGCCATTTCCTAGCTACACTGGCTCAGTGTCTCCAGTTCATACAAGTCTCGTATATCAGCCCTTAGCATGCGATTGGCATTTGTGGCTGAAGTACAACGGTTCATGGCAGGAACTACCATGAGTGAAAAAGGGCTATAGCTGACCATGGCACCAATAGAAGAAGACATTGAATGAAAACATTGGGATTTATAGAGCCAGACAAAACAGCAAAATTATCAACAAAGACACGTAGGACACTGTTGTGTTGCAATTTTCATTATCTCGAGCCCAATTTTATAGTTAGCTCAATAGGACAGACTGGATGAAGCCCTGCCTCTTCCTTGCCATTGTTCAGCACGTGCGTATGTCATTGTGTGTCACATGGTGTGTGTTATGTGTGCATGCTCTACTTCTCCACACCATGCTTAAAATGTTATTTCTCCAGTGGGTCCATTGTTTATAGGCATATTTTCATTCCTTGCATATTCAAAGTCCGCCATTACACACACCAGTTGCTGTGTTTGTTGTAGTTGTATACTTTATTTATAGTGGGGAATATAAACAGGCATAAGCCTGTGAGGTCAGCGTGTGTCCATATTACTTGCACAACTGTGAAATGTGGAACTGCCCCCCCCCCCCCGTTCAAGGGTAGCCACTGATGTTGTACGTGTTACTGGTCCACAGAAGTGGTACGTCACCAAACAGCTCCGGAATATTGGCCCCGTATAGATCACGAAATTCTACAGCAGATATTACCCAATAGCACAGGCATAATGCTGTCCTGAGGCATTCTCAAACCTAAACTCCACTAATTGGATTTGACCTACAAAACTTCCAGAACATCATAGCGAGTATGAATGTACTTGTACTTGTAAGCTTGATATCTACATGCTGTCTTCATGATTTGGAGTCTACCTCCTTGACATGTGTCTGGCAGTCCGGTCTGCTGCACAAGTCGAAGGTCCCGTTTACCTCAACGTAAAGGGTAATCCCATGCTGTTTGTAGGAGTACAACGAGGTGTATATCATTCTTGCTCTTTGGACGGGACTACATGTACATGTACAAGATACATTCACATGTACATGTACATGTGAATGTAGTTCAATCACAATCACTGGTACTAGCAGACATTGAACATCCACAACAAGCAAGAAGTGATGCGCAGAGCAGCTGAAAGCAACGCACATTGTACATGACATTGTGATCGGCATGTCTACGTGCATACGTGCAGTTGTTCTTGGGCCATACGTGACCATACCGGTGTGATAGGCACCACGGACGAGTCACCTTGTGTGGCAAATACTGGCTTGCACGAGATCTAGTACTGCGGTTGAAGGTGGCAGAATTTTCCCCGCCTCTAGGGGCGGCCAACTGAGCTGGCTATGCGCACTTATGGTGCGCTTACTGGTGCCTAATTGCTGGGTTATCTGATAGGGGATATACCATGTCGGGCACAAGCATTATAATCATATGTCCCGGTTTCTCTGTGCAATCCTAGTAGGTGGTAGTAAGTAAATATGCTGAGCTGGAGAGGTGATAGGTCGCAGCTGATAATACTATCCATTTACTTACTTACTTCGGGTTTTGAATACCAGTACAGTGTACTTGTACTGGTGGGGTGGAGTCCACTAAAAAGAACAAAAGAACCCCCAAAAAACCAGGTAAAATAGAAACAAGATGTCCACAATGATGATCAGACATGACCCATAGCATAGGAAAAATCTACACCTACACGTAGCTTATGAGCTCAAGTTCATGTACGTGTACATGAATGTGTACGTGTACGTGTATTCCTGGCTGGGTTGGAGAATACAGTCATGTAGAATGACGTCCCTCACGGCGCTGCTGACCTCTCGACGTAACATCGCTGTTCTGGTGCTGTGGGAGTCGTATGATAACATTCCCCCTGACGCTGTTTGGCTCTAGTTTTCAGCCGCACTGCACCGACTCCGCTCAGCAAGGGAGCCCCATCATGCACCTTAATAGCTATTCTATTCACGCATCATGATAATACGGCAGTCAGTGGTCGGTCTGACTCTGTTGGCTAGCCCTGTGCTACGTAATTAAACATGACATGCTTACGCAAGGCTCAAAAATTGTCTATTCAGTCTAGAATTTCACATTGAGTAATCTCTCGCCCTACAACATAGACGTTATGCATCCCATAACGCCCCATACCAGGCCAGGGTGGGGTATGTCGATCAATACCACCATTCGCAATCAAATGAACTATACACAGACGAACTAGTCCATCTCATGTAATAAGGCGACACGGCCTGTTTTTTTCTTCGACATTAAATAAACCAATCCAAACTACCAGTACCATGTCGATCTCCTGCCCAAGGTGCTATCTTCACCAGCGGTGCAAGGTGCTATCTTCACCAGAGGTCCAAGGTGCTATCTTGACCAGCGGTCCACACAATCATAGACTTGCCTTTCTGTTCTATATGTACATGTACATGTACATTCGCGACATTTCGAGTACATAATTATACCGGCGTTGGTATATCAATGGTATATAGTGCTGTTGTCCACATCACAGACCGGCCATCCCCTCTCAGTTCTAGTACAGAGACGATCTACATGCAGGTCGGACCATGGCAATGCCAAATGTGGGCATCAGATTCTGATTGGCTACGCGGCGTTATGCCCCTTATCGCTAGTAGGCATATGTGGAATCTGGAAGTCAAGTCACCTTGTGCGAGCATGTCAAAACAAGCTGAGAGAGGAATGGAAAACGTGCGGACCTTACTGACTGTCGAGATGCTAGGACAGCGCGATAACGTTTCGCGTCACGAGATGTTGGCGTTGGTAAAAGAGATAAAATTCAAACGGTCAGCACAAAGTGAGTAGCGCGCCTTGGAATTGTCAACTACAAGATCATCATAAGCTCTGGTCCTGTCAACACTGCTGTCATACAGCGTTTCGAATAGAACCTGTCTTACATAGGACAGCTTGTAGAGCAGGTAAAATGCCCGCAGGTTCGCTGAGGCCACACCAGCTGTTGGCTCTTGACAACCGCAGCCTGCTTCATAATGGATATTGTCAGGTGAGCAATCTAGGAACTGAATTAGGGCCAGGTCCCTGCACTAACTTGTGCCAACGGATCTCGTGAGAGATAAACACAGAAAACAGTACGAGCTTATGTGTGATCACTGACTGCTTCCAATGAACAACGATTGTGAACCTGGAGGCAGAATACACATGGCTTCTTGTAGGGAGAAGAAACAGTAGAGGGAATGGAACCTTTTCGGAACGAGTTGACAGCAGGAATATTTTGACTATAGCCTCAGCAGCACCAACTTCACTCGAAATAGGTTGTGTTCAAGGGAGCTGGTATGATGAAGTTTGTTCCGAGGCTATCGCCGATCACACTGAGCGGTTCCTTAGTATGGGTGAGATACCTTACAATTCCTCAATACAGTGTATTTCATTTCAAATCATGGTGTCAGCAGCTACTTAGACGGGAAGGCAGAGCAGTCAAATAGAAAATTAGAAAGATTAATTAATATGGCTCATAGTAGGGATTGCATGCTGGAGCTCTGTGGACATAAAACACATAAGAGAAGAAGAAACCCCGAACTAGGGGTGCGAGTGAGGGAGTGGAGTACACGGTCTAGACGTAGTGAGCACGGCAGGACCAAGAGGTTCGAAGACAAGGGAAGCAAGGCCAAGCCCAACTTTGCGTGTGCTTAGACCCTGCTCAAACGTCTAACAACGCCAGACGTTGAATGTGAAAATACAAGCCCAGGTCAAAGGCATGCACGAAATTGGGATACCATTCATTATATCAAAATCACGTCAAAGCTGTACCATCACATCTTGCAAGTGGTGTCTTGAACAGTACCGGTATTACTTCAAATACTTCAAGGCAAAACTTTCAAGGTGTAATGGAACAGCTCATCACTGCTGACGCTATTCGTGTTTGCCCTAACATCTTGCTCACTTCAGATACTGGTAATAGTCGTTGTCTAGAAAGGATCGTGAAACTAGAAGATTGCTAGAAAGCGCAGTTTGGTGTTGCAAATACCTATTCATGACGACAGGGTATTGCAATGTGTTTGTATTTTGGGTATGCTAAGCATACATGCACTTACGATAGGATGCGAACTGTGGAGACCATTGTATACTTTTAAAAAGAATCATACACCAACTCACAAGGGTAAAGAGACAAAAGACAAGAAGAGATGAGAGCGAACAGGAAGATGAGCGCGAAATGATACTGCAGATGACGAACATATGAGATGAGTGGAGGTATAGGAAGTAGTGGTACGAGGACTAGGCAGATGAAGACTAGACAGCAGGAATGGATTGCAATTGATAGAATCTTTCAATAGATCCTAAAGCGAAGCGTCTTACATGTACATGTCAACATGTTGGCAGTGATG